TTTGTTGTAGAACCTGTTACTAGGAGCACCTTGGGTTATTTACGTCCAGGTTTAGTCTGAAAAATTAAGATAAAGATGGGATCTTACTAAACCAATGGTGCCTGTGTTAGCTCAGAGTTCCATAAAGGATATTTGCTGCTCTATTTGGTGAATGCTCGCTATTCCAAGCAGAACTAGAGAGCAAATACAGCCGTGGGAGAAATAACCTGGATTCTGTTCACATTTGGACAGCAAGTCTAGTTGTAACCTAGACAGAAGCTTGCACCGCTTTAGCTTGAATAGCTAAGCTAAAAGGCTGCTCTGTGTTTAGGCTCTCTGACTAATCCCTGAAGAAGAAAGCTTCTTGCAAGGGCAAGTTAGAGCAGGAGACTAGCTTAGCTACTGAAACTTAGGCAGTGTGAATATACCCTCCACGGCTGCAAGTAGTCTTTCTGCTCGTGAGAAAGAACACAGCACGGCTTTGAGATTGCTACCTGAGTTTGCAAGGATCTTACTTTAGGAGAAAACCACCCCTTTTCATTTGTAAATAGAGCAAGTGCAGTTTGGAATAATCCAATTTAATTAGAAATATCATAAAAGCATTTTGATGTTTGTTCCTTAAGAGTGCTGTATGTTTGTTTTTTAAATCAGATTTACTCTCCATTAATTTTGAAATTCACATTAAGCATTCCACTCGGTGTTGGTAAGGAAAGTAGTCTGGTCAGCATCACTTGCAGTCCCTCGTGCTGTACCGCCAGCTGGCATTTACAGTTCTTCCCAAAGTACAAGACATGCTCTGTGTCATTATCTTGATTATCCAGGTAAGGAAACCAAGGCAGAAGGAGACTTGGGACTTGAGTCCAGTACTCCTGAGCTCCCAGCCAGTGTTTTATCCACTTGTCCAAACGGTGGCACAGCACTGCTGTTTTGGCATGAAACTATTTGAGATGGGGGAGTTTTTTCCTAACCACCTCTTACAAATGTGATGGTGTTCCAAAGGTCTGTGTTTTATTTCTAAAACTTATGTCCCTGGCCTGAGCACATTCCCTTTAGTCATGCACATTTTAGGAAACAATTGTGAAGGAAATTATTTTGAATCTACATTCTGGTCAAGCCAAGATGCTAATTGGTTTTGCTTTTCAGGACTACAGGAAGATGCAGTAAAGCCTGCTCCAAATAAAAACCAAATGCTCACCAAACCTGAGCCTCTTCCCAGCATCACAAAGTCAGCGTCATTTCAAGGATCGCCGGCAGGGCCAGTGCTCGTGCCCCATCGCCCGCCACCCAAAGTTCCAACTACGAAGAAGCCAGTGCCTCTGCAAAGGGCCGGAGTCAAGGTGGAAAATGTAAGATAGTTGCGTCAAAATGCATCCAGCCTCCATTACAGTGTGAATGCTGGCAAGAGGCATGGACTGTTAAAACAATTTGCATGAAGTCTGGTCATTTAAAGTTCTTAGCCAGCAGGCAATAAAATGATTTTATGTATTGTAGTCACCAAGGCATAACAATATTCTAGGAGATCAGAAAGGAAGAAGAGCCTTGAGTTCCTTACTCAGCTGTATTCAGCTTTCCTATTTGTCAGTCCATTCTCTTAGATTCTGTTATTTTCTTCTGGATTGTCTAAACCTTGTCAGGATTTAAGACTCATCCATTCTTTGTCACAGGGTTTACTTTTGACCCCACCTTATAAAGGGATTCAGCCTTTCACTTTGGATTCTGGATTCTGCTTGAGTTCAGGTTCTTAAAAACAAACCTGTAGGTGTTGGGGTTTTAATCTGTCTCTCCGTCAGCTCTCTACAATGGAGATAATAGTTCTTCACTGCTGGAGCTGCTAAAATGAGTATTTAATGGTGAAAGCAATTAAAGTACACGAGAGAGAAACATACCACCTTTTATATCCCTCCTTTGACAGAGCCTCTGCTAGGAAGCTCTGTTCCAAGTTTTTAGGACTCCTGCCTTACCTCCCTTTGGAAAGGCATTCACCCCTTCTCGATCACGGACTTTGTGCAATCTCTACTTAGCAGATTTGCAAAAGAAAAAACCAAAACAGACCACACAGTCTGTGCCCTTTCCAAGGAATGAGCTGTTTATATTTTATGTTGTCGCTGTTCCTGGGGCACCCCTGAAAGGTGCTGAGAGGGACTGCTATTTGGTGTTAGTCGTATGGAATCTCCTGCAGGAATAGATCTATTTCATTTTCACTCTACCCACTCCTTCCTCCATCTGTTGAATTCAGATGGGAGTTGTGTACTTGAAAGCCTCTACCCCATCCACCTCTATCATTAAAAAAGCATGCGATCAAATGTAGGCAACTTAGCCACAGCATATAGACAGAAGTGGCGGGGGATATGTCCATCATGAAATATTGACTGAATATTTTGACTGCATGAAAAAGCCTGTATACTATCTTTTAATACCATGGGAGAGTAATAAAGAATTAAAACGCTTTCATTCAGTCACACTGAGTGTGAGAAAACTGAAGCAGCCCTTGCCCTCTTGGACTGAGCTGGGTTTCAGTTATTTATGTATTTTTAAATGGTGAATATATGATCGATTGTACTGTGAGAGCTTACTTTTAGCTTCAGTTCCTAGCATTGGTGAGACATTACAGGGCCATTAATGCATTTCTTGGGTTACTTTAAGGTAATTATCCTTCAGCGTTACGTATCAGAACATACCAAAGGTGTGTGCTAATGGCCCCATTGATTTAGCCCTCCCTATGCATTCTTGTTTAAATAATACTAGTCAGCAGAGAGACCTAACAAATAAATAACCCTTCAGAACTGTGTTCATTTGGTCCGGAGGAAAATCCTAATATGAGAGAGAGAGCGAGAGCGCTGTCAGCTTTTCTCAGTACGGCCATCAATAAGACTTGCACTAGTAGTGACTCAGAGTTTAAGGTACCTGGTTTTGTTCTCAAATTTCTTGTTCCTTTCCCCCCTCAGGCCGTGCCTACAGAAGAGCAATTCGACCAACAGACAGTAGAGTCTCCTTTTGGCTTGCCAGAGCCCTGTCTAGAAGCTGGAGCTATTCTTAGTCCAACCAGGATTACTCCAGTCCCTAAACCCAGAACTGCACAACCTGGGAAGCCTCAGGAGAGCAGGGGGAACAGTGAAAGGCAGCCCCCCTCAGCAAGCGTGGCTGAGGCCAGCACGCTGCTTCCACCAAATGCTTCCTTTGCCCCAAAGGTGCCACCACGAAGAAAGAAGTCGGCTCCTGCAGCTCTTCATCTGCAAGTTCTCCAGAGCAGTGACAACCCACTTTTTAGTGGGTTAACATTCAACTCCAGCAATGACAATCCCGGGTTCTGCCCCCAGACTCAGGACTCCCACGCCCCTGTGCAGTCTGAGCTCTCAGCTCCTACCTCCTCCGCCAGCCCAGAAACCAACACAACTAAGCAGTTGGCACCAAATGCCGCGGAATCCATGGCCAACCTTCCGGGCCCTCCTGTACCAGGCGGCCAGCATCCACAGCTCTCGGACACCAGCTCCCTTCCAGCGAACACCAGTCTCCTGGACCTGGACACAGATTCTTCCTGCCCTCTTCCCATGCAGGCAGCATCAGCTACTTCTCCAGCACATGTGCTGGGAAATTTGGAATGCCCCGCCTTGAAAGATTTCAGCCACTGGGTTACATTTAGTGATGACGAAGACAGTGGTGCGCTCTCAGAAGGCTTTGACAAACTGCTTGTCTTAGAACAAAACAAACACACCTTGATGAACACAAATACTGATTTAGATTTGTAAAAATTGTCCCCTTAATGTTCCTATAGAAATCATAATTACGATGCAAAATGAAAACAAATCTTTTGCACAAAGATTTTTATTTAAGGAACTAGGTCATCTGTCCATGTCCTATTTCAGTCTCACGTTTAAAGATACTGCCCCTGGAGGGAAGTGCATAGGGTATATACAACCTAACATTATCTGCAGCTTGTTTGGAAAGTTCTTTATTCTAAGTTATTTCTTTTTATTAATCCATCTTCAGATGTTTTATTTCATTTCAGGTACAAATCATATGTAAGAACATGTAATGTGGTATGGAAAAAAGATGTTAAAAAAAATCTTTTTCCTGTGAAATTTATATATTAATCATTTTCTGTCACTTGAAATAAAGAACCTTAACAGTTAGATTGCTACAGTTATTCTGGAACAAAGATCCTAAAGGGGAATATATACTAGTGTAACTACAGCAGTAACGCTGGTTTTGTTCTGCTACTAAGTTTCTGCCGTGGAAACACGGCTTAGACAAGTATCTTGTCTTATCGAGCTTAACTAGCTGCAGTGGTGGCAGGCCCTAGTACTTACCTTGTTGAACTCGCTCCTCTGTTGAAAGTAAAATGCAAGGCAGAACCATGAGAGGTGGTGCCCCTGCAGCAGCAAAAAACATAAAGCTGTTGCTCAGTACACCGTGCATCTCTACAGGGAGTACACCCAGGAAGTTGTTACAATGCACAGAGTAAGACCAATGGGCAAGCAACTACAATTATCTGCTCTTGCAAACAAAAGGTTTAAAAGCTGATTAAGTTCGTGGCAGCCTAGCCAGAGGAAGCAGCCCCTCTTAACAACTGCAGAAACTCCAGGTGAGTCCTCCTGGGTACCTGCCTCACCCTTATATTTACCCAGGATTCCACCAGGGCCTATATGACAAGTGCTTCAGGTGAGTCTATAAGTCACTTACCGCAGTGGGCTCACGAAGTATTGCTGCTCAGCTCAAAGCCAACTCGGTCTTCATAATGAAATCACCTCTCCTTTATAAGCAAGCTAGCGGTCATGCTTCTCAGAAGCCCAAGATTTTGGCGAGGATAATCCATGGTGCCAAATGTGCCCGTTATCTATCTGCTCGAGGCTGCACAGGCAACCTGTAGGCTCTGGCTGCCATTTGTTCAGAGCAGGCACTTAAAAATGATAAACAGATTGCAACTTGTCACGGTAATGTGTTAAGAGAAGCATCAAGGTCTTTTATTATTAAAGGAAGGAGAGCATTTTTAAGCAGTTGGTGAGGCTGAAAAAAACCCTCGTCAGATGTTTTTTGCAGAAAAATTGTATTAAAAAAAGTTCAGATATTTTTTTTCCTTCCGTAGGAAAAGTAATTGACTGGTTCTCAGCTTCTTGGAAACTGGGAATTCAGCCATTTTCTTGCTTGCAATGCCTACCTGTTTCACTGCCACTGCCAAATTTTGAACACAAGACATCCTGTCAGGGAGGATGCTGCCTTTGTTGGAGCACCTGCCAGCCTCCTCTGCTCCCTCACTTGCCAGACACTTTAAAAAGATCCCCAAAACCTTCAAAGGCACAACCAATAAAACCCAGAGCTCAGTTTCCTACATGTCAGTGTAACGTGCTGATGAATAACGCTGAAGCAAGCTAGTTGTTTCCCAAGGCAGACCCTTAGCCTCTTCATCCTCCTCTTAAAAAAAATAAAATACAGTGACTATTTATGGGCACGTTCAGTATAAAACATTAGGAGCAGTAAAAAAGAAAGAGTACGTTATATGACCATATCCAACATTTTCTGCAAAGATAATTAACAGCTCCAGGACAGCTAATTTACATGTTAATGAAAGTGTTGGCAGGAAAGCCAATTAAAGTGGATTTATACAAGTCAAATAAAATCTGCTTTATTACTCTCCTTGAATAAGAGAAGCATGTAGCCTTTAGCATTCTATCTTACGGCTATGTATGTGGCAAGCTGCCCGTTAACGTACCAATCCCTGCAGCTAGCTGGTTTATACGATCAGTGACAGCATAGACTGTTCAAGCACAGCAAATCAAGGGAAAGGAACAGACAGTCCCGCTGAAAAGGTTACAGCAAAGAATGAACAATCTCCTGTCTCAGTGTATCACCTTTCACATGGGTGCCCAACGCCCCAGCCAAGCGTTTTCCAGAGGTGGGTGCTTGTGACCTGGGTTCTAGTTTTAAGGCTCAGGAGAAGCTAAGCAGGGCCAAATGCGCTCTGCGCTTGGGAAACCACTCCAGCAAACTCAGACTGCAGGAGGGGGCGATTCTTTCGTTCACGCTTGGGATTAAGCCAGGCCCTACCATGGTCTGAAAAGAGGCTAAGTAACCTGAGCCATCCTTAGCTGGCATCCACGACTGGGGAACCCACAGCACGGCTCTGTCCTCAGCTCTGCTGCCCATTCTCACTGGGACACCATCAATGGAAACCAACGTTCTCCATGAGAGGTGTCAGTCTTGAGGGCCACATAACGGGTGGTAGGGAGCTGCTATCCCACAAGGTTTTTCATGTGGACCCAGCACTTGGAAATCTTCAAACTGTTGACACTGGCTGTGAAGCCAGGCATGAATGATTTACCAGATGCAAGTATGTGAGCCTCTGTGAACTTACTTCATGTTAGAGACTTTGGCAAGAGGCTAACACCATGCGAGCTTGCCCAGGACCCTGTGGTACAGCAGCTCTAAGTTGCTACAGCCATCCTGGTTGTTCAGCTGCATTTGTGTCTGGGGTGGGTAAGTAGTTCTCTCTGGTTTAGCAACTGCCCGGTTTAGCTTTTTTTAGGTGGGTGATTGCTGAAACAAACAAAAAGAACTGAAACCAAACCCAAAATATTGTTCAGAATTTCCTTTCTGACAAAACAACATTCTTGCTTTTTCGTTTTTGTCTGGAATTGACATTTTCACCAGACAGATAATTTCCCCTTCCTAGCTAGCTGCTCTGCCTGGCCCCATGGAGCACAAATCACAGTGAAAGCCAGTTTGCACTACTGTAATCACAGCAATTAAAAACTTGATGACTGTTGCTACTAGAAATACCAATACAGTTATACAAGAGCGCTGGACAACAAGTGCATGAGGACTGACACATTCCTAACAGCTCTCCCTTCCTCTCTTACTATTTTAGTCTTGGATGCCACAGTGCAGACGGAATACCATCGTCTCAGACGGTTCACACATACCTGTTAGCCACATCTGCAGCCGGGTTCCCAGCTCAATGGGATTAAGGGCATAGTTTGAGGCCTAGGAATTTACATAAAGGCACTGTCCCGAATTAACGTGACACCAGGGAAGCACGAAAGCGTATGTTTCTAATGGGAAGCAAGCACAAATGCTATGCAACAGACCCTCTGGCTCTCAAACCAATGCCTGCACATTGTTTACAAGGCACTTTTTTGTAAATTCTAAAAGCACAACTGAAAAACCGTTCAGTCTGGCAAAACTGATGACCAGCTGCACCCCCCCCAGGTATTATGCCTCTTACAGAAGATGACGGGTAAACACTACATTCTTCCAGCATGAGACAATCACGAAGAAATAGTGCAGGGTCTTTCACAAAAGTGAACATGGTCCAGAGCATTCCCTTAGGCATATCACTCACCTTTAATACATTTTGTGGCATATCTAGTACATTTTAAAAAACACATTTCATTACTATATTCCAAAAACCCCAAGCCCAACAATCCCCCCCCCCCCAGATATTAGTTTTAAAAGTTACACATATATACATACAGTTACAAAAAGGACAAAGTTGCTTCAAGAGTTCCAGTTACAGTAACAAAACATAGATGCATCTACTGAGATTAATGTGTAATGTAATTGGTCTGAATCCCTGTAAGCCAAAGAAGTCGATTAAAATCAATACAAGATTTGTCACACTAAACACAGTTATTAGGAGTCTTGTCTATTCACACTGAATTCCACACACCCTCTACTTTGTGCATACAAAGTGTTCTAATATATTTACACTCTGCAGTTTAAACCACAGTGTAAAAAGGACAAATCTCTTCAGAAGTTAGGGGAGTTCTGTTACATTTTCTATCTGAAATACTGCCATGCAGTGTTCTTGCCTACATCTCAGTTAGGGGGAAAAAAATGCTCTTTTTGCTCATGTAGTGCTGTACATTTTTGGTACTACTCTTGTGAATTTTACTTTGCAACTCCAGCAGGTCAAGGCTCAACTTCCAGAAGAGCAGTTTGAGATGTAGCATCCTCCTGGGCTGGAGCGCTCTTGAGTGGGAACAGCTGAGGTGGCCTCAGGACCTGGCAGGACTGCAGTGGCCACAGCTGCCTGCACCAAGCCCATGCAGAACTGCAAAGTGCACCCCACCTCTTTGGGAGCTTTCATAGCCGTAATTTTAAGGCCAGCGATACTGGATCCATCTCACATAAGGGATGCTAAGAGACATCTTAAGCCTGCCATCAATGCAGGCCGTATTTAGCAAATGGTCAACTAGGGCAGTACAGCCTGATCATGGCCTATATTTGTTTTCAGAGAGGGCTGGGGGTGGAAAGAAAGGAAGGAAGGAAAGAGACCACAATTAGACTAGGCTGCTTTTAACTAAACTGCAAACTATTTAAGACTTTAAAAAAAGTGGCTGAGCACTGCCATTTTTTTTTTTTTCCTAAAAATCCTTACTTCTCATCAGTACTGCTAAGGCACCCTTAACATAAACTCAAATAAGACAACACTGCTGTATGTCTCTATATCTACACCAATAAATACACTTTTGGCTTCAAAAAACCAAAACATCTGGGATCTTCTGCATTTCCAGTGGGACCCTATGATCACCTGAATTTTTTTCCTGCTTTACTTGTTCTCTACCTGAGCTCCAAACAAAAGCATCAGCCTTTTTGTCAGGGCCTACATTTGTCTTACTCAACTTCAGCATTTTCAATGCTCTTTAAATCAGCTAAGAAAGAGCCAGGGATTTGAACACACCATCTTCTTGGAATATTCCAAGAGTAAAGCAGAAGCAGCTAAGCCTCTGTTCTGTATCTTCCATGTGAGCAAGCACAGAACTGCCCTGAGTCTGACCAGATACACGCTGTCCTGAAGAAAGCAATCTCACAAGTTGCTCAGATTAAGAGGGAAATGTACAAGAAGGTGAACAATTCTTTTGTTTGGTTTTCATTTATACAAACAGATTAAAACAACTACAGCTGCCAATGCAAGACAACCTACCAACCTATCTCTTTGTCATGCAGAAAACAGATGCCATATTCGCTGACAAATCTGGGTGGTCTATTAAATGAAAAGACAAATTACAAAAACTCCTGTAATTGGGCCACTAGGCTAAAATGCTACCTTCATTCAGTTGGACAAATTTCTTCAGGCTCCAGACAGACTACTTAGCATGGACAGTAAACCAAAGCTGTGAGGCAGCCACATGCTGCTTCTCCCCTTTGACATAACAAATAACCACCTCAGTTAATTATTTCTGATCCTCTCTGTAAGACTTGAGTCCCAGGTGTCTATTTACCTTAATGAGACCACCTACCTCCAGAGCAAGCTTTTTTTTTTGCCTAAAAGAGGATATCCTGGGCGCTCTCCATAGTTCAGCTGTGTTGCTCCAGAGGGATGTCTGTAGACTAAGTGAAACTTCTCCTCCACTGAATCCCCATCCCCTCCCAGCCAAACTGATGGAGAATTTACACACGTTTTGTCAACAGATCATGGTCACTCTAAGCCAACACACACTTTCTTTTTGCCAAGTTTATAGGATTTCAGTTGGTATTTGCTTTGAATATACTTTAGAAATAAGTTGGATATGTACTGAAAATTATTTTAGCAGCAGATACTATTGACATAGAATCTTCATAGTTCTGCAGATGCCCCAACAAATGTTAGGGGAAAAACTTAACTGTGTTACACCAAATGGAGGATATAAGAAGCCAAGGATGGCAAAAACTCAGTCTCCAAGTTCTTGGGCTAAAACATCCTGAATGAACTTCAATGTACGCTGGTACAGGAAAGCATCCTTCTTCTTTGGCTTACAAATATTTAGATGATTAACATCCACTGGAATAAGGTCTCCAATTCCTAATTCTGGGAGAGGGGAAAAAAAAAAAAGAAAGATAAGAAAAAACTACCAAAGTTCATAATATCACCTAGACTGAAAAGCACATTGTGCATTAGTATTTTCTCTCTCAAAAGCAACTTCTCCTGTCTTCAGTTTAACTGCTTTGTCTTCATTATTTTTTAATGTGCTACAAGCATCAATCCACACTGTTATAGTCAGATCAAGCTATACATTGCTACAAAACCCACGCTGGTAAACCATTAGGTCCGAGTTCTACTATCTGTATTGGGAATACACAAATGTACATTTGTCCATACAGACAACTTTGAAGAATCAAAACTTTATTTACCAGCACCTGACTGACAGCAAAGTCCTGACTGAAGTTTAAGTGTTGACATGAACAGGGATAGGGTTTAATCCAGGGTATCCAGATTCTGACCACCACTAACTGCCCATATTCCTTATAAAATACTTTGATGTGGAGATTAAAAATGGAACTATAATGAACCTGCAATATGCCGCAAATCACTACATACATTTCTGGGGAAATGAAAAATTTATATCACTTAATTCGAGGGTGACAGAGCACTGGCACAGGCTGCCCAGGGGGATTGTAGAGTCTCCTTCTCTGGAGATATTCAAAGCCCACTTGGACGATGTCCTGTGCAACCTGCTCTAGGTGAACCTGCTTTAGCAGGAGGGTTGGACTCCATGATCTCCTGAGGTACCTTCCAACCCTTGCCATTCTGTGATTCTGTAATTGTAGAATACACGTATTCTATTTTCAGCTACTGATTTTGGGGCATACTGCAGCATTTATTCTTTCCTGACAGCTATCACTACCACTGAACTCTCTAGTTAGGATGCTGTGACTGCCACATTCCAGTTTATTATCTAGGCGCTCAACCTCCGGAGAAATCCTCCATTTTGCTTGAAACTCTGTATCTTTAAGCATGTAAAATTACACTAGAGTAGGATGAAGTTTGCTTTCATGTGCCCAAGTATGCATGTAAGAAATAGCATACTGCCTGTCAGCCTGGGTTTTGAACAAAATGAGTGGCATGCCACTGAATGTTTATGTACCCTCTAAAGGCTTTCAAGAGCTCATGTGCTGCATTGTATGTCATTTCTAGAAGGGGAGAAATACGCTACAAAATTCTAAGTGCACAGTGCTTATTTGTGCACTCTGTTTTCCAGCCCTCTTTTTCATTTTATTTTGTTAAACAAACAAACAAAAAAAATGCTCAGTTTTTCAGTCCTTGCCAGTAAAATTGCATCAGCAACATCTTCACAAACAATTGTTTCATGAGAAGACATACTGAAAAAATGCTGCTAAATATTGACTCAGGAAAACAGGGATGTATAGTCTGTCTTTTTCAGAGCAACTAACCTTGCATTTAACCTAGTGGATTTAGCTGGTGGAAAGCCTGATCTAAAACCCAACAAAGCAATGTTTTCTGTTCAAGGCCTTGGGCAGTGCAGAAGAGGGTTTTGCTCAGGAAAAACCTGAAAATTTCAGACTTAAAACAATTCTCTAAGTTGAACACCCATAAACAAAGCAATAGAAAGAACTATCTGGTTTTCCCTCCTCCTACAAAAAGACGGAGGGAACTCTTCAGGAGGCAAACTCTATTGCTCAAGTACCTGAGATATGGAAGGCAAAAGATTCTTAACACTGAAAAACATCTTTGTGATTTTTTCCTTCCATTTACATTTTTATTTTTTAAAGGAGAAAATAGCTGGAATTTGCGTGAGCTTCTGAAACACTGTTCAGCCTACCTATACAAGGATAACCAGCAGTTACTCATAATTACAAGGGAAAGGACTACAGCAATGTAACATTAGACCAGTGCCTCCCTGCTTTTTTCAATAAGCAAGTGTTACTCACATTTAGAAAATCAAAACAAACAATTGCTACTCTAAGATATAAATGTAGCTGCCTCTGATCTCAGCAGGGAGACTGTAGTTCAAATTCAGCCAAAAGTTCAAACAAAAAACCCCATAAGATGTATTTTTCTAGGTCTTTCTACCATAGCATTTATAATCCTTCCTCATTATTGATGCTTACATGAATACATACAAAATAAAATGGCTATTTGACTTACTTGCTGATTCCAGAGGTACGACATGCAGCTTTATCATACTGCCTATGTGTGTTGGTAAGGTTTCTGCAAAACTCAGCACTGAAAATTTCTTATCTTTGGCAAAAGATAGGAAGTCATCATTCAGCTCTTTAAGGGCAGGAGAATCTGAGAAAGAGCAACATAATTTTGCAGTGTTGTCTTGAACATAATCTTACAGCATTTGTCTGGCAAGACTGCATTCCTAAAGAGATGTTTTGGAAAAGTTAATACTGCAGTAAAAGGAGTAGCATTTTGTTTGTAATCCCTTTTTCCAGCTATCATATGCAACAATTGTTTATTTCTTCATAGCATGGAATTTCTTTAGAAGGGTCTGAAGTCCAGCACATATTGAGTTATGACATTGTTAAATGGCCCAAATTACTCTTCTGTAAACTTGTTCTGACTCTTTTTTCCCCCTCATCTCTGCTATCAAATGAAATAGTTACTCAGAATTACTTACAGTAATTCAACACACAACCCAAAACATAAAAAGGGGGATTGTTGTTTTTATCCAGCTTTTTCTGGCAGCACGATAAAAAAAAGCATCATGAACAGATTAGCATAGATCCCCGCTGGTAAATGGTAGCAAAGTGAGCGTACCCTTGCTGAGTTCTTTAACCTCCACAGACGGAAAGAGAAGATATCTGGCATTTATAGAATATTCAGCCAGCTGGGAACCATGGTGAGGTACGCTATAAAATATGATTCCTCTGGTGTTGTTTACAATTTTATCCATTTCTGGATTCTTGGAAGCATCCACAAGCATCTTTTTGACTAGAAGACCTGGCAACAGAAACTGAATTAATGCAGGGATTTAAACCACTGTGAAAATAATGATCATGCTATATTATCCATGAAATAACTAACCATATTCTTGCCTCAGTTGCTTAGTCCTTACTTTGTCAAATATGTAAGATTAAGTTGAAAAAAATCAAACCAAACCTGAGGAGGCATTAAAATAAAATGTCAATGAATGATGCAAATCCAATTTTGGTTTGCTTTAAGTGCTGTTAATGACATTTACTATATGCCTGATCACAGAGAAAATTTTCCCTCTGGATTCCCATTTACATGAACTTCAACTCATTGATTTTGTGTTTTTAAATCAACACAGTAGAAACAAACAGCAATAAAAATCCTTTCAAAATGTATATGCTATTGAATATAATGCACTAAGAAAGTAGAAATCTATTTTCCTCTTTTAGGTCTTTTCAAATTTTTTAGATAAACTATTCTGAATAATTGTATTTCAGACTGAATTTGGTTAACAGCTTATTCTGAAATATAACAGCAAATAAATACTTCATATCAAACAGGCAATGTGCTTACCACCCATGCTATGTGATACCCACACCAGAGGTCTGTCTCCAATCCCAGCAGCTCTGAGCTTGTCAAGAAGCTCATTGCTCCTGTAAGCAATAGACTTCCTGCAAAGAAAAAACAAACCCAAGCATGATGAAGCATGAGAAGTTAAAAAGCAATGTTAAAACAGAATGAATTTTCAGTGCTGCACGTTTATGAAAGTGCATTAGATACATAAAACATTAATCACTTAATTATTGTTGCTACATTGAAAAATGCCGAGAACTTTTGTAAGGTTGGCTTCAAAAGGACATCAGGAATTGAGCTAAATTCAGTTTCTTGATCTTGCTAGAAAGTTTTTTTTTCATTTCACTCACCACTCATTTCCTTTAGCTTTAGTTTGACAAATCTCTTTATGGAGTTTTAGATATATGAAACTGTTTTCATTTTATGAAGCATCATCAATGCATGATAAACTTTATCCCCTGAAACAAGAACATACCTAATGTCTGACAAAAATGTACTTTGCTAAACAGTGCTCAAAATGTGGAGCAGTGTCCGGGAGTTTAATTACTAATTGCATGATCAACCAATACATTAAAAAAAAAAAAAAAAATCACAGCTAATGCCTGTTATACTTTCCAGACAATAATCTCCAAACGCTTTGTACTGGGATAGTATAAAAGCAAAATAATCTCCACTTTATAAATGAAGAGACTGAGGTCTGGAAAGGATAAGCTACAGGTTAGAGGTTGAAAATGAATCTGTGGGACAACCAAAACAAAACCAATGTCCATTCCCACTCCAATCTTGAAAGTGCAACATCGTTACTCCTTGCAGTGTAACAAGAATCAAACATAGGAGACCCTTGGATAATTAAAACATCGGGATATTAGGGTAACCACTGTGCAAAGTAATTCACTTCATCTCTATTGGTTCTCAACATTCTCACTAGAAATTGCTTTTATAACACAGACGAAAAGGATGCTCAAATGTGTCTTTTCAGCTGAACAATAGGCTTTAAGATAGCTGAGACACATAAAAATTCACTTTTCAAACAGTGAATGAGCCTATACACTTACAGCAATCATAAGGTTGCGATTCTAACCGCTGCATCTTTGTTCTGGCTAGTTAAAAGTATCTTCAATATCTTTCTATTTTTTTTTAACCATATCAAATTATAAAATAATCAAATACTATGCTTGGGTGACCATAAAGAGCAGGAAATGTAATTTTACATTCTGTAATGAAAAAGATACTACCTTAAAATAAAGAAATCTATTTTTGTTTATTTTTCACATTTTCTTCCATTATACTTACTCCAGATGGACACAGGAAAAAAGTTCTCTTAGAATCATAGAATCATTTAGGTTGGAAAAGACCTTTAATATCATAGAGTCCAACCATCAACCCAGCACTGCCAAGTCCACCACTAAACCATGTCCCTAAGCACCTCATCTACCCATCTTTTAAATACCTCCAGTGATGGGGACTCAACCACTTCCCTGGGCAGCCTGTTCCAATGCTTGACAACCCTTTCAGTGAAGAAATTTTTCCTAATATCCAACCTAAACTTCCCTGGAGCAATTTGAGGCTGTTTCCTCTTGTCCTATTGCTTGTTACCAGGGAGAAGAGGCCAACCCCCACCTCGCTACACCCTCCTGCCAGGTAGCTGTAGAGAACGACAAGGTCTCCCCTCAGTCTCCTTTTCTCCAGGTTAAACAACCCCAGTTCCCTCAGCTGCTCATCATCAGACTTTTGCTCCAGACCCTTCACCAGCTTTTTTGCCCTTCTTTGGACACAAACCAAGGTACAAGGCCCCTCTACAAGGTCCAGTCTTCTTTGGACCTTGTAGAGGGAACCACCTACATGTTTTCTACTGTCATTGTTCTGCCTAATTTCAAGTAGGCATATTAATAGCCATTTCTTCCTTATTTTTTCCCTGCTTACATGCTTTCTTTAATGCAATAATTACATATGGAGGTGGGAATGAACAAGTACCAAGTTTTTTCTCCCTACACAAAACACAAATCAATTTTCAGATTCTTAACCTGTGAGCAGTCATGTACACGCCTTCACTGAAGTACATAGGTTGAACCTACAGTACTAGTTACACACTTAAGTATCTGCATGAATGTTTGAAGGATTCAGATTGGGATCTGATTTAAAGATCACTAAACTCAGTTACTAAGCCTAAAATCCATTCAAGCCAAATAACCTTTACAGGCTCAAAATATTTTTATTTTTTAGAAGGAACATGTTTGGAGGTAGCATCTTCCTCTGACCTACCTGGTTGACGGTCAGTAAAAACACAATGCCTCTGACAAGGGCAATTACACTATCTGACCAAACCAGATACAGTTGCTGTGTTTTATCTATCAAAGACTTAGATCAATCTCTTTCCAGGGATTAACACTTCTGGAATAAAATTATATGCTTCATTTTGTCATGAGTATAAAGTCATAGTACAGAGATTTTTTTTTTGCTGTGCTTATGAAGCATTATTGGATCATATTAAGTTTAAGAAATATTACCCTTAAAATATAAAACTGATGTTATATTTACATCAACTAATAGCAACTAATAGCATAATTTAGTGTCTCCCCTAACCATAAAGCAGAACAGACTGTAAGAATTTAGGATGTTGCCATGAGGCTAAAAAGCTCAAGCATGCCATGACTGTACCTAATGTTCTTCCAAACTTGATTTTCAAATGCAACAGAAGTTAAAATCACTGTTTCATGCTAGGTGATCCCAAGGATCAGCTTTACAGGTCTCCTTCCTGCCCCTACTCCAAACTGTGGACACTACGTTTGTTACCTGTGAGCCTCAACAGGACATTTTGCTTTCCAGTCACTCAAATGGGTGTCATATTCCACAGATATGATTCTAAGGGCAGGACAGTCTGAAGCCAGCCATGTCTAAATTAAGAAAAGCAAAACCAAAAGGAGTTTATAATTGAAGTACTTTGCAAACTCTTACAAGCAATTTATTAGCAATGAGGCAAAGATGTTACTATGGGGACAATATCAAGCAAGATTTCTGCTCTTCAGTTAATCCCCAAATACATCGTACACTTAGACTATTATCCTTTTATTACATGCTGGCAAACTCTAGCCTGTTCCCCAGCTACAAATAGGTAAAGGATGGAGACAGATTACTAACTCGTGCATTCCTGGCTCCCTCTCCTGGGTGAAACAAGAATTACTAAGATTACCAACAGGACTGATCATTTTAAGATTTACAGAGATACTTTGGTGGTTATACCAAAGCGAGTTGCTTGAAGCAGTAATTACTTATTTATGAACAATATTTAAGTAGCAATCTGAAAAATTTGAGTCACTCAGACACCTATGTAAGAAAGGATATTTAACTGAAAATGTAATTTTATGTATCTTTTTCTCAGCAATAGCAGGAGAACAATGGTGAGAGCATTAAATTTAGCAGGGATTTTCCTTTGCAAGAACAACCTGTTCAAAATTTCAGCTTGCTAACAAAAATATAGCAGGAACTTGGAAAGTGTTACTTGTATAACAGATTACAAGTAATTTGATTCAAAATAGACAACTGCAAGACAGTGTAATTCTAGATCCTCTGGACAGCTCTCATGAATGTGAAAATGCTACTATCTTTTTACCTTTGGCCAGCACTGACTATAGTCCTCTTCCCCTTCTGAAGCCTTTTTATCCAAATGCCGGTCAATGTCTTGCTGTCGCCAGGTTTTAAATGCTGCTCCCAAAAGACCATGAACAAAAAGGACATCTGCTCTGATGGGCTCACTGATACAGAAAAAGGAATTTTTAAGAGATGCATGGTACATATTCTTTTAGCAAAATAAATTTACACAGAACTTTTAACCTAAGGGATGCCAAAATGCTATTTTTAACACTATATATCTGATTTCTTATCTTATGGACAACGCTTCATGACATTTCATGATATTTCAAAGAGGATACTCAGATAAAGACAAAAACACCCAGGGATCCACCCAGAAGAGAGAGATATAAAAAGAGGTATGGAAAATATCCACATCACAAGTTGTATTTTTCTATAATGAAAAACACCATTCTCTCCAGCTACTGTTAATGCAGCTTGATAGTTCCAGCTTTATCATCAAATTAGATCTTCACTGTAACCTGGCCAACACCAGTGCCCCAGCACATAGTCGCTACTACGTGACATACCATGTTGGAGACTGCTTCAGTCCCAGATACACAATCACTATTAAAAGAAGGTGAAGCTGTAAATTTACTGCATCTTAGGCCAATATGTGCTGCTGCCAACAGAATAATTGCAAGGCACTGTATCCCAAGACAGCCGGTGCAAAGGTTAAATGGTTGCAATGCACGCAAAGCAATAATTCATCCCATGGTTTGTGTTTGGATTTTTCCATGCAGTACAATAATATTCCTTTCACAGCTATGGACTGCTCCCATCACTTCTGCTGTTCTCTGATTTAAGAATCTAAATTCAGTGCTCTCAACCCACCAAAGAACAGGAGGAGCAGATGACATGAGTACAGCAGCACTCTGACGTCATCTCTTCCGAAATTTTGTACCTGAACAGTATAACAAGTAACTCAAAGTACAGCATGTACAGTATCTCCTTCTGCTTTACCTGCTACGATACTGTGGATGCAAGACATAAACACCATCTGGATACTTTTCTTTCACTGCATCCCTGTCTAGATTAGCCAAAGCTCTGGATGCATGAGAAGACTGAATTACATGTGGGGACTTCATTACTTCAGCAAGTACAGAAACCCAACCTACATTGAAGAAAATAAAGTGGCAGGTTAACTAATTAGAAACATCATCCAAACAAAAGAATTCAGAAACATCATCCTTCAAAATACACTTGTGAAAATAGATGTTAAGAATGGGAACATCAAACCAAATTATTTCAAATAATTTCAGGAAAGCCAATGCTAGATAAGTGGAACCTCCAAAATGCAAAAATCCAGAGTGGTGAGAAGGCAATCTATTTTACTACTATTCAGCTTAGGATCTGAAGGAGAACCCCTTCTCAGAAGAAAAAGAAAGCGTATCAGCAGGTCAGTGCAGTTGTCAGAGAGAGAACAGATCTCAAGCCTCTTCTTGCAGATAAGATGCAAAAAAGACAGAGAAAAAAATATCCTAGAGATAAAATGAAGCTTAAAGAATATGACAGACATAGAAAACAACCACAAGAATTATGGCAGGTGGAAAAATTGATGCTTGCTATGAGAGTACAACCATTTCTAATTTTAAAATCCCATGTTTAAGGAATTAAAATGTCCTCGCTGTTCTAAAAACAGTATACTACTTATACCTAAGAAACATAAGAGTATTAATGAAGGAAACCTTTGAATACATTCCTCAATAAAATTTAGTCATAGCTACCTCAAGAAAAAACAGACACTTTATAACACTTTACCTAAGATGTAAAATATAGTTTCCTAGACATGGATGGGGATGTTCATAGGCTACTGAGAAATGCAAAGAACTATCCTTTTTACACACAGACACACATATATTTCTTTAAAATCCTGATCATTCTTATTGTTGCTAGCAAGAGTGGTCTATAAATCACAATTACATTACAGTCAAGTTCATAAATAAAACCTGGGAAGACTTTGAAGAGAGATTTTCAAATGGAGGGTGATTTGAAAAAGAAGAAACAATTTACTTAATGAGCACTGTTTCAAAATCACACAGAGTATGCTGTTACTAGCATAGTCAGTATGTTGCTAATTCAAAATAGTTCACTGTGGTATTAGGAAAAGGATGAATTGACATCTGAGTTTTGTTTAAATGCAAGTACCTTTGAGAACTGTCAAAAAAATTTTTTTTAAAGAATAATGTATTTAAATTACATTTCTAAGCAGGATAGATGCTGACCACTGAGCAAGTTCTCCTTAAGAAGAATGCTATCTAAAATCTATTTTCAATTCTCCAAATACAATGACAGACTGCCAAGCTAGTCTGCTTACAACTAGTAAGGTCTCTGGTTTTGCACTTGTCTTAAATGAGCCAATATGAAGGGTCAAAAATAGTGTTCAGAATCCTTCTGCCCCCGGATACCCCATCACAGCTACTACAGAGTGCACCACTGCTTTTCTTTCTCTTCCTGTGCCAGCAGTTTTTGCAAAGGAAAAAAGGCTTAGAGCTTCTTTCTTCTTATGCATCATCCAGCAACAAAAGAGAAAAGTTATCAACTCTTGACCAGCAGTATCCAACCGCTCATCTCTGGAGTCCAGTTCACTGTCTAAAATTCCGTTTGTACCGATTGCTCTGCCCCAGGGAGCTGCTGACTCTTCTGTTATGATCTCTTCCTCTACATGTATGGTTTTAACAGTCATCATAAGAATGTGAAATGGTGCTAGAGCTCAGATCAAAGGCCTCTGTAGTCCAGCTGTCTTTCTCCAAAAGTGAGCAGTAATGGAAGTTGCAGAACAGTTAAAGAATAGAGCAATACAAGGGCAAGCATATAGTGCTGATTCTCCACTACACCCTCTCAGTTTTCTGCAATCAGCTTGGCTTCTGTGTGTAGAGCGTTACTGATTTTTCTTTCCATGAATTCCTATAATCACTTTTTGAAGCTTTCTAAGTCTTCAACAGTCAGAAAGTTTTGTGACAAGTTTTAATTTGGTCATGCACTGCATGGAAAAAAATATTTGTTTTTTCTGCCTCTTGATCTCTTGATTGATGTACAAAAACCTTTTGTCTTGTGTTATGAGAAACAGCAGACGCCCATTCCCTCTTTGCCTTCTCTACGCCAGTATTTCATCAATTTCCATTATATTCTCCTTCAGTTGCTTTTTTCATACAGTCTTCGACTAGTTGTTTGTTCTTTCCTCCACAGCCATTCCAAATTTTTAATCACCCTCATGGTCTTTCTCTGTGCCTTTGCTACTTCTCCTTTTTGCAACAGGAGATTAAAAATGCACACTGTGTTTAAGAGGCAGACACCAGCTTGGATGTATGCAAAGGCATATAGATATTTTCTATTTTTCTTTTAGTTTCTTTCCTAATAAAACATTGGGAATTATTTATTTGGTACAGGACTAGAAGAAATAATCTAATTGCGATATTTAGGGGGTATTAAGAAAGGGGGCATCAGAGTAAAGCTTAGCAGAAGTTACTAGCCTAACGTAAAACAAGGGAGGGCAGGAAGGCATGTGTCACTTAATTCCAAAAGGCAAGGACTACAAGCTGTTCCTTTATGAGACTAAAACACAGTTGATAAGAAAAAAAAAATTAATCTACAAGGTAGATGATCTGTAAGAGAAGGAAACTCAAAAGATTTTTGCCAGTAATGTGATCCGAACATCAACTAAGTCCAAATTTTCACCATCCAATCAGACTTAGAGCACCTCTGTAGCGCTGACATATATTGGCTAGATAGGAATTTTTAAGCAACACCATCTAAACTGTCTGTATTTTTTGTATTAAAAAAAAAAAACAAACAAACCAACATGACCTCTCCAACCCCTCAAATACAAAAAACCCCACCACTGCTATGGTCCATTGCATTTTGCAAAAGCACTGAATTCTCTGAAAATTTTAGAGTAGAAATCTGACATTCAGACTGCTTGCACTTGCTTTCCTTTTACCTGCACGTACTATGGATGAATGAAGACGCTCATCCAAAGCCATATTTCCAATAATGCGAATTATGTTCCTTTGTATTTTTGCTGAGTCTTTACGTAGCTGGTATATCCTCTGTAGTAGCTGAAGGCCTCCTTTAGCTTCAATTTTATCACAGTGAGAAGAAACCTACCATTACACAGTAAATACAATGACAGTAAGTAGATGTTCTGCAAAACATTCTTTGAGATGCTGTTAATTCACACATTATGGAATTTTAAGGAGCTGATAATGATGCAGAGCCCTTCTTACATAGAAATGCTTATTATTTTAGAAAAGATTATGCCATAGTTGAAGAGGAAGTAAATATTTTAATATGCTATATGCATGATTTCTAAGGATTGACAACCTGAAAGATGCTAAGTAAAATCAATCTACTCTCCTCCACATCAGAGGGAGATGAGATTGCTCTCCACTTGGTGTGATCAAATTTCAACTAAAGTTCAAGAGTCTGAACAAGACAATTGTCTGCATTTGTTAAACCACTATCTCAACCAGAGCTACTCGTCTTCCTGTTTACCACCTAAACCGCAATCATTATAATCCCTTCTCTTTGAAATGCAAAGGTATTTCTTCTCCAAACAGCACTGCTATCATTATTGATCTTAAGGGCGACAATAGATTCTCGTCGAAGCAGATGAATATTTACTAATTAGTTGTAGCGTCAACTACTCGTACTGGCCAAATGTTCACGACTTGAACATGTTGTCTACAGTGCTTAAAAATGTGTGGTAGTTATGGCACTACTGATGTCCTCAAGTCTCCGGCCTTCAACAAAGACAGGTGCACATTCGGAATGAGTACAGTCACAACTTTTTAAAACTGAAAATCTGGAATATAACAAATTCTAGACTAAGTCAGAATTTCTATGTATATGGAAGACATGAAAGGCATACTAGCAAACTGCACTTTATCCATCCCTACTACCAATAACAATTTGGTGTTCTCAATACTGTTTCTCAGTGTTCTGAACAATTAAGTGCACACTGAAGAGTGCAGCAATAGGAATGAAGAAGAATCATTGTTACACAAAATCTTCCGTACTCTTCATCTGTGTCTGCAAAGAACAGACTGGTCTTGGGAATGCACTGTATCAGCTGTGCAATATTCTGCCCAAAGGCAGTGATCCTTAAAGGAGGGACCTTTGTGAATAGCCAAGGTTTGCATTCCATTCTGGCTTCTCATTAGAGGGAATTCATGAGGCTACTTTACTTTTTGGAAACCTGACACTAGAGTTAGATTAAGAGCCGTAAGAACAGACTACTTGTAAGCTTTCTGAACTGATGTACACCAACTCACACAAATCCACACAAGCTTTGCACTGTAGAATTTCACATTATTGGTGTCTTGCTTACTGAGAAGCTGCACAGTGGAAACACTGTTTCCTCATGATATCTATCTACGACGACTTTGAGTGCCAGTGGGAGGTAGCTCTACAGAGAGAAGACTTGTTAAAGCCATCTGGACTTCAGGCATTCTCTCCTGCTTTTCTGTGTCAGAGCTGCTTTTTTACTTCTTGAAAGAAATATAGTATACTACAGGGGAATTTATATGGCTAATTATAAACAGTAACAGAACTTACATACACTTCTCATGAGAAAAAATGAGTTTGTTATGCTGCCTTCCAATTCACATCAGTCTCAGTTGTCTGAACATTCTTACAGAAGGGGTGAGGGGTAGGAGACAAGGAAATGGCAACTCCTTCCCAATATATGAGAGCACATTGGAAAAGAATGTTTATAAATGTAGGTTTTCAGTTATAGTTTAAAGGACAAATTACCTTAGAATGTTGTACTAAAGCTTGCAAGCAAAAGAGTTCCACTGTCTCTGAAGGGATTTTACTCAATGTCTCACAGTATGGAAGTCCATTTCCTCCAAAACACCATAAGCCTCCCTGAAATGAGAATCAGTAAAAATTATATCACATTCCAAATGGCTACATAAAATAAGCATTTGTAAACCAAAATGTTAACTGTGTAATGATCTATAGAAATTGCTATAGAGTGCACAGCATGCATGCATTTTTCAAAATGTACAAATTACACAACAGTAGACCATAAAAATATCTATTATTTTTAACTGAAAATATTAAACAGAATTTTCATTCAGTAGTCTCCATAGTCTATTAACTTCAACACATACAATAAAGGTGGAAAATGTAGGATTTTCACTTTGTTAATTAATGTCTTCTTTTAAGATCATTTGCTTAAGCATAAAAAAGCAAGAATCAGCCTGCATCTAGACTTCCATAGTTGCAAAAATGAGAAGAGGAGGAAAAAAAGGTCTTCAGCACTTAGCATAGTTTCTGAAGACCAGCATAACCTCAATAAAGAACAGTTTTCTAGAACAATGCAATTATCAAAATGCTTCCATGTGTGGTGTCTTAACAAAGCTCCCTTTGTAGCAAGAGCTCTGGCTGCGAAAACAATAAAGGAGTCATAGTGTAAAAATAGTACACATAATTGTGCCATAGGAAATAAAGAGTTATTGCACTCTGAAATCTCTAAATAAAGCCTGTCAGGCATCATTATTAAAATATGACAGTCATTTTTATTATTATACCTTACAAAAATAATAATCACTGATTCAAAAAGTCACAACTTTTAATAAAAAAAAAGCACGGGAGAGTGGATAACACAGGTATTACAGTTATTATTTTTAAGCAATAACTGCACTTTAAATGATGTTCCTAAAGCCACTTAGGAAGCTGTTGGACAAACAGAGCTATTAGAATTCCTAATTTTCAAGTCCAAACAGACCACTAGACTACTCCAATTCTAATTTTGGCAACAGTGACCTGTTACAGGGAGGCATTTGCATGTGATATAACAGAGTTTACTATTTAAGGTGTGCTAACAACTTACCAGTTTGCTAGCAAGACTTAATAGAGGTTCAATCACCTCAGCAGTGAAAGAACTCAAACAAAGGTAAGACAAAATGTGAAAAAAATCAATTTTATGAGCACTGCAAGGGGAAGGAAATGTTCTGGACAAATATCTGCTTTATGAGAAGGCTTCTAAGTAAATCTATAATCTTTCACTCGACCAACTAGCACAGCTGGGAAAGATAAACCAGCTTTCAAGCAGACAGACTGTATGTAGAAGAGATTTTACTTACATTGTACAGTCACAAAGTCTCTATATTTCTCTTCCTCTTACAATGCTCAAAAATATGGAAATAGGTTTGTATCTTGAGCTCTGCAGGAAGAAAGAATCCAAACAGTTCTATTCTGCAGGTGGGAACTCACCCTTTGTGCAGCGAGAGTCTGACTACTTTCACGTAAAGCAAGAGATGTAAAGTACTGGACACATGGATCAAGACCAGTCTGAGGTAAAGATACTAACAACAAGCGAAGTTCATCTTCTATGGGATAATCCTTTGAGAAATAAGCACAAATAGCTTTTAGTTCTGTTCAAAGCATGAAGCAAAACACAGAGAAAAGAAAGATCTGAAATAATGGAATCAGCCACATTAATTAAGGCCATAAAATACGAACCCTGGACTTGAGTGCTCTGCAACTTTGGTATAATAGTTACACCTGTAAAGCCTTTGGAAACTCATAATTCTAAAACCACTGACTGAGCGATAAAAACTAAGCTTTAAATGTCATACTTCGGTGGCCTTATTCTAAAAGGTCCAGAAGGGCAAGAGAAAAAACAGTTCCTCTTGGCACAGGAGGCTTAAAAGTTCACCCTTAACTACACAGTAATTTTGGTGCTGCTCCATTAAAATGAATGTATAAATTACAAGTAAAAAACACAGACAACATTTCTTTTAATCTTTTATCTTCAAAATATTCATTTAGATGTTAGTTTAATAATCCAATACAGGTGACAGGAGAACTGATTCAACAAAGTAATTTTATTTGCCCACAGTCATAGAACTTGCAGTTACTCTAATTCTTGCTACAATCAGAGATGGAGACATAACTGATGTGCAGAGCAACACTTGCTGCCACAATGATTTGCTTCAACTTCCTAAGCAGCAGATGGGGAACTCTTAGCTTCAATCACCTAGCAATCACACCACTGTAAAAATAGAGCATATGCAGAACCATCTACTAGTATAACCTACTACTTCAGGACTGACAGGTACAGATCCACTATCATGTAATGTTATGAAGATAGGAAACCAATCAAAGCCAGTTTTCAGAGATTTGTTGGTTAAGATGTACAGGTATTCTCTGACAGGGACCTTTGCCAGCATTCATTCTATTAGCATTATAAAAGACCTTGCGTATTATGCTTTGTGTGCCCATTCTGAAGAAGCTGATACGATGACATGATTGATCAAACCATGATATATATACTTACTTACTAACTGACATAAAACCAAAACAAGGTCAGATCTATCCAGTACAGATTTGCTGGCACTCAAAAGCTGGCAATAAAGAGGTGGGCCTACAGCAGGCCTAGGCATAAAGAAAACAAGATCTTACTGTAAGTAAAGAGGATGGGGAAGAGCCACATCTCAGCCTCAGAACCTCTGGAGGCATTTGGGAATTTAAGACAGATTACTGAAAGCTGTTCCAGATGTTACATATTTGCTTAGCTGATTAATTCTCAGTTACTGTACTGAGGTACAATGCATTTCAGCAGCTAAAACCATACTTACTGAATTTTGTGTTGGAATACTACTCAATTAAATCTAACAAGTACTGTGATAACTGAAGTTAAATAAAACTTAGTAATACTAAAGCTCATCTCCAAACACTTTCTGTAAACTTCTAAATTCACACATAAGTAGGTTAAGATGTCAGAAGGAGAAGACAGCAGAATTTCTGGTGATAGACAGCGAGTATGTCTACATTAGTGATTCAATGCATTGAAGGAATTTTTCCAGGCAGCAAATCTGCATTGTATCTGCACTTGGGAGTCATGTAGTGAACTCAAAATTATTTCCCTACTTATACAAGGAAGGTTAAAGCTGTCTGCTAGAACACTATCTAGAGCACCACACTAGCAGTGAGGATGAAAAGGCCTCCAGGAGTGCTCTCTATGCATAGGATTCTGTCAGTACCAAAAAGGCAATCTTGGATGACTTAATGTAAGACTACTTTGCATTGCCTATTACACACAGACAGGCAGTGCCTGCATCAGACTGGTAACTGGCTCAAACTTCACTGCTAGTAAATGTGTAATGTGGACATACCATCTGAGAACAATAACCGATCAACCCCCTATCCTTACTTCTTTCCATCATGCCATTCACTAACGCAGATATACCCCAGGGGTATATCACTGTATTGTAGTTTCGTATTTTGGTCTTAATTTTACTACTTCTTGGTTACTTCAGAACAACTCCACTTTAGTATGGTAACCAACAACAAAAGCACTAAAAACAAACAAGCAAGTTATCCAATACCTACTTTTCATTTACTTACATTCTTTATTTTTGGCAGTGGTGGTGGAGGCAGAAAAAAGCGAAGGTCGATATCTTTGGATCGAGCCAAACCTATTGCAGTCCTTTGATCACAGGTTTGGGCAACTGTACCATACTGGTAATCTGTAGTACAAGAACTTCAGTGTTAGGGTTAAAACTAACCTTAAGTATTTCATTTGGTTTTAAATGTAGTTTCTGATCTACTTTATTAATATACCTGAAAAGGGAATCACTTCTCCACAATCTACATAAATAAGCTCTGATTTCATAATCACAAATTCCAAAAGACAAATATTACAGCCGTTAGATCAGTGCTATACTGAAGACACCTGGGCACTAATTGTTCAGTATAGGTCGGTTTGATAAAGGTCCTCAGACAGAAGTTGAACACAAGCAAAAGCAAGCATTCAGAATTGCCATTGTGAAAAGAGTACAAGGACTACAAACCCAAGCTTAATCCCCCAGGCTTGAGCTAAAATTTGGAAAGCATACGCATGTTTTCTTCTGCATACAGTATTAAAAACCAGAGCCTTAAATCCAAATGCTGCCAAGACACAGACACCTGATTTTAAATGATACAAAAGCTATGTTTCAAAAAAACTGTTGAAGTCACAAAATCCGAACCTCAGAAAAGGCAGGAGAGCACCAAAGTACAGTTTTAAGTAACGCTTTCTTACTGAAGATACAAGACTTTCAGTTACCCTACTGAAGGAAAACCAGACTTAAACAGTAACTACTGTTCCTTTCAAAAACCTACTTACTTTATAGCTGGAGAAATTGAAAATTACATACTGAAATTAAGTGGCAAACTGAAGAAAAAGAAAATATAAAGTGGATCAACACTTATTCTATAAAAATCAATTTCTATCCTTGTTACTGTTATACAATTCTACAGCAAAACTGACAAGCCATCTAAAATATACTTTTCACAAACAGTCATAGATTAACCATCTATCTTCTTTTGGTGCAGATCACTTATATCTGCAAACTGAAGTCACTGAAGCAGTGCTTTGGACAAGCAGAATACTGTATTTATGGTATCAGGTATGCTGAACAATTTAGTCCTAGCTGTGAAAAGTTAGAACATGTTTTCAGTCTTCCTTGGACTCAGTTTTGGAATATCAGGTTAAAAAAAAAAAAAAACCCACTTCCCTCATGAGGTAGTTGGTAAGAATAATTAGTGTTTGCAAAACATCCAAATACTACAGCAATGAGCACTGCATAGAAAAGTAGGTAAGAGAAAGCAACTACATCCCCAAGTATTGGCCATCTTGTGCACTAAAATCACCTGCTAACAGTATCCTCCTATGAACATGAGATGGTTATACTAAACCAGTACACATAGCTTCAGTTTTGGTACAGCCTAGCTTTCAAATGTTTTCCAACACTCCAGCTTTTTGATGTAAACTGCTTGGGGTAATTAGAATTTTATAGAGGCAATCTGAAACAAGATAAATCCCATGGCGTGGAAATATACTGGAAGAGTGAAAGGTCCTCAACTGACTGGATTACCAGAATAACGAGAGTCGAGATTAGAGTGTCACCTAGTTTATATGGGCTGGTGATGGAAGGGGGAGGAGGACACATGTATAGAGCCCCCTCCCCCTTTACTTGGGGTTTCAAGGATATTCACTGCTAGAGGAACAGGGAGGACTTATTATTACCAAATAATAATAACTAGGATGGAAAATGGCTTACAAATAATGCTTGTACATACAAGTCCTCTACCTCTAGTTTGTCATTACTACCCATTAGGTCCTAACCAATTTTTATTAACTGAACCATGTCCTTAAACCCACTCCCCTACAGAGCCTTGTAAAAGTCACTGCCAGAATTAGTGACCTTGTTAGCAGTTCCAACAGAAAAGCTAAGGAACTAATGAAGAAGAATTGTTCTCCCACACCACAGCGGTGGCTGCGATACTCTGGTGGAGAAACAGAGAGAGGCCTGCGCTGCAGATACACACTCTGTATCAGAGCATTAGGAAGGAGGAATTACTTGAAATGTAAATAAACCCCCCACATTTCAGACCAAATTTCAGAGCATATTTACATTCCTTGCAACTACTAGTCTTTTTTCATGTTGGTAGCAGACTTGCAACAGCTAACTGAGACTTTGTCACATTTCTGGGATGAATTAGGCTACATCAGCATATGTTACCATGCCAGTGACTGTTCTTTGCCAGGTCTTGTACAGCCTGCAGTCGGACCTCTTTGTCTTCTGACTGACTTCTCTTTAAGAGGAGCCATAAGGCACATTCATGATCTTCTCCATCAAATGTACTGAATTGTTCTTTCACCAGGAAACAAATAAAAGCCAAGTTATTATTAATGAGCATTTTAGCAGTCATATTTCTATTTGTTGAGTAAAAAAAAAAATCAGTTTAATATTTGAATATTAGTCGTTAACAGTAATTTAAAATGTAATGTTTTAATATTGAGTTAGTACAATAAACAATGACAGAATGGCATTAGTAAAATGCTGATCCTTAAATCAATAGGATGGTTTTGATTCATTTTAGTGGCACAAAGTTAGTGTTTCAAATATATGTTAGACATAGGTTGGCACTTACCGACCAGAATTGCCAGCTTCCAGCAGGAGCTGGAAATGATTACCAACTCCTGAGGCTCTGACCTTGAACAATTAATTTCATAGCACCACAGTGGAAGTACATGTTGTTATAACCATTTAACAGACAGTTAAATGAGAACAGATAGTATGCCTCACGAGCACAGTTTCTTCTATGAATCAAATTTCTTATTTTAAATTACTCTAAAAAGCAGTGACACACTGTTACATACTTCTCTAAAATGGAACTTTGAGAGTATTTTGTCCCCCAAACACCTTTTGTACACAAAACTGGTATCAGATATCAACCTGGTATCTTAAGCTTCAATTCTCTTCTGAAACAGGAAAAAAAAAATCTCAAATCTCTTTTAACCATCACTTTCATTTACTTTAAGGAAAGGAATGTTTTTAATACATAGAAAAGATATTAATAATCTGCATTAATACAGAAAATTACAGTAATATTACCACCATTTCAAATGCAAAAGAACATGTTAAGCTTGCAAGAAAAATTATTTTGCTTTCTAAAAGGCTTATGTTTTACTATTCAAAAATCATAGTCATAGATAAAGCCATGCTTTCAATACCTACCGCTAAAAGGCCTCCGGAAAATTTTAGCTTCTGTTTCTAGAATTTTCCTCACAGCTTTATGAATTTCTTTTCTGGCTTGGTATGTGATCCCTGTGAGAGGATTTTGAGATTAGTGGAAGTCTGAAAGACAGTTCTATTAAATTATTTCTCCTACATATATATATGTGTGTGTGTGTGTGTATAGAAGACAAATGTAAGGTCTTGCACCTGGGAAAACATAATCCAGGAGTGCAGCACAGAAAGCCAACAGGGTGATGGATCGCATCAACAAGGGCATCACCAGCAGAGATAAAGAACTACCCAGCTGGGGAGCAGATCTGTGGAAGGGGTTCTGGGGGTCCTGGTGGACAAGCAGCTCAATATGAGCTAACAGTGTGCTGCTGCAGCAAAGAAAGCCAACAGGGTGATGGATCACATCAACAAGGGCATCACCAGCAGAGATAAAGAAGTCATTATCCCACTTGGCACTTGTCAGGCCACACCTGGAATATTGTGTTCAGTTTTGGTCCTCACTATACAAAAAAAGACGTGGACAGGCTAGAGAGGGTCCAGAGAAGGGCCACCAAGATGATGAAAGGTCTGGGAAGCCTGCCATATGAGGAAAGGCTGAGAGAAGTGTGTTTATTCAGCCTTGAAAAAAGAAGGCTTAGGGGAGACCTTATCACCACATTCCAGTATTTAAAGGGTGGCTACAAAGAAGATGGAGACTTTGTAAAAAGAGTCAAACAGAAAAGACGCGGAGTAATGTGTACAAGTTACTCCTGGGAAGATTCCAACTGGACACAAGAGGAAAATTTTTCATAGTGAGAACAATCAGCCATTGGAATAACCTCACCAAGGAAGCGGTGGATTCCCAAACATTGGACACTTTTAAGATTCAGCTGGACAGGGTGCCGGGCCATCTTGTGTAGACCATGTTTTTGCCAAGAAAGGTTGGACCAGATGGCCCTTGAGGTCCCGTCCAACCTGGTATTCTATGATTCTATGTTATATACATGAAATGTATACATACACACATATACACGTGTTGTGGTTTAACCCAGCAGGCAGCTGAACACCACACAGCCATTTGCTTGCTTCCCCCCTTCCCCAGTGGGATAGGGGAGAGAATCAGAAAAAAGTAATACCCATGGGTTAAGATAAAGACAGTTTAATAACAGAGAATAATAATAAAAAGAATATACAAAACAAGTGATGCACAATGCAATTGCTCACCACCTGCTGACCGATGCCCAGTTCTGAGCAGCAATCGCTGCCCCCAGCCAACTCCCCCCAGTTTACATACTGAGCATGATATCATATGGTACAGAATAGCCCTTTGGCCAGTTGGGGTCAGCTGTCCTGGCTGTGCCCCCTCCCAGCTTCTTGTGCCCCTGGCAAAGCAGGGAAAGCTGAAAAGTCCTTGACTGGTGTAAGCACTACTTAGCAACAACTAAAACATCAGGGTGTTATCAACATTACTCTCATACTAAATTCAAAACACAGCGCTATGCCAGCTACTAGGAAGAAAATCAACTCTATCTCAGCTGAAACCAGGAAAATATGGACCTAAATGTAAAATTATCTCGTACATAGAGAACTGTATGTATAGAACTGTCTTAAAAAAACAGCCACCAGCTTAAAATACATTGAGTGACATATCTTTCCTCATATAAGGGTGACTTCCAGAAACATTCTATTCTCTTAAAATTTTATTTTTAGAATCCAAACAATTATGCATCTTACCTTGATATTCACTCGGATTTAGAGAAGTTGTACGTACGTATACATAGGATTTAAGTTTTTCTTGATTTATAGCTTGAGTATCGATTTGCAGTAACTTCTTTAAGGACAGGACTTCATATGTAATGAATACAAAACCTCTTTAAATAAAAGAAAACTGTATATGAATATTAATTTTTAAAAATTACAGTAAAAATATGTTAACAATCATTTTGGTATCAATCATCCAGATTTTATCAAATATATAATACTCTGCAGATTATTTTAATTTAACAAAGTAGAGAAAAGACTCTAAAAAACTTAAAGTAAGTAATAACTATGAGTAAATATGCTTCTAAACTATATTCTATCATGTCTAAATGTCCCCTAATATTGTCACTTTTTTTGAAAGATACATGAATTAAAATTTTAACTGTATACGTAATTTACACCTATGCTTGTCAGTTACAACTTACCCTAGTACAAGCGATCCAGTTACCTTTGCAATTTTTCCTTGAAAAAATGAAAAAATTCACGTCAAAGTTGTGTGCATCACCTCAATATAAACATAGCATTTGGTTACCAGATAGTAAGACTTTCAGCCATTAAGAGTAAGCTTTTAAAAATTTTTCTACAGCTCTCCGGCTTTCAGAATCATTACCTAAATTTACAAACACAGAATACATTACTTGGTTAGAATTTCCTGCTCTCCTAAGCAAGATGATAAAATGCATATCCTGCCAGTGCTATTTACTTTGAGTATTGCTATCTATCATTTACATTCATTACTCAGCTGCAAGAATCAACAGTAAACTTTCTCTGCCTGCATCACTACCATTCATTTGGAACTCCAGTTTATTTTAAGGAGCTCACTTTTTCTTCCATGGCGTGGATATTTCTTCATCTTATATGAATACAAACAAGAGTATATACGTTCCTTGAAAAGTCCTGCAGAAACTCCCTAGTAAAAATATTTTTAAAATAATTCCACCGAATCTAGTTTATAAAGCAAATAGCTGAATAAACACATGCCACTTGCAACAATTTCCCTTTTGAGTCTAAGGATTCCTGTCAAATTTGAGCTATTTTTTCTGGACAAAGGTGAGCTGATTATCTAGATGTAAGGATCTCAATATAGAAGAACTCTATTATTACCAGTAGCAGCAAACCCAATGGAATGCATCTCACCTATCATCAATAATTTCTTTTCCTCAGCATGAATTAGGAGATTTGCTCCACAACCGCTGCCACCAGGTTCTGTCTTTGCAAGACCATAAGAATTTTGGCATGCAGACAAGCGACAGTTACATGTTGAAGAAATAACTGGTAGAGAAGGTTGAAAAGGTGAAAAAAATGCAATGCTTCCTGTAGAGCAGAAATGGAAATATCCTATCTTTTAATGCTCAGAAATAAACTTTGGAATTCTAAGAATTGTCATTCTAAGAATTGTCATTCTATACCGGAGGCACCAAAGAAAACAGAGACTAAGCAGGGAAGACTGCAGAGTTAATACCAGTAGATAAGAAGGAAGAAACAATAGAACCAAACTTTATTCAAACTTTATGGATGTAATTGTTTTATGGCTTTTGTAGTTTAACCCAGCAGGCAGCTGAACACCACACGGCTGCTCCCTCACTCTCCCGTAGCCCACAGTGGGGGGGAAGGGAGGGGATGACGACAAAAAAAAAAAAAAAGGCTCTAGAGGTTAAAAAAAAAAAAACCAGACACAAAATAGAGTTTAAGATAGTTTAATGAGATTGTATCTGTGGGGAGACCCTCATTTTGTGTTCTAATCCCAAATAATCTGCTGGTGTCATTTTACATATCTCTATGCAAGCAAAGTCAGAAGCAGATATCCGCTTTAGGCAAATACAAGCTTTTGATCACAAAGTATTCAGGGATTTAGATCTTCTGTATCATTTAATTATGCATAGCATCATACCAACACAGATTTTGCCTTTTTATTAACACCTCATATCAATACACATAGGACTGTACTTACTGATATCATTCCATGGTAGGTGTGTTTTTGTGGCTGGACCAGAAGTTCCTATTTGCCTATAGCAAAATATACAGTAAGCAGCCACTGACATTCTGTATATTAGGAAAAAAAAAAAAAAGAAAGAAAAAAGAAAAAGTGATGATTGATTTGAGTATTACAGCAGAAAACCTGTAGCTGTCTTTTTATAGCAAAGGTCATGATAGCAAAGGTCATGATTTACAGCAAAGGTCACAATAAACCATATTATTTTACTCCACATAAAATGCTCTAATTAAAGAAGTCTATAAATCTAATAGGCTGCATTTCAATTACAAGAAAAGTTTAAAGCAGTTTTTCATTCAATTATTCATTACTGTTGATTTTAGTGAGTATGTATCTCCAATTAACTTCTGTGCTTTTAGTAAGTCTCCTTTTCTCCTTAGTACCTTTCCCTTAAATACCAAGATATAGTCAGATGTCCATCAAGATATTACTCAATATGACATGGGCTTTAATATCACTCAGTAACCAACTGCTTTTAAAGTTCATAAGATTGTGTTAGCAAGCAAGTCTTTTGTTACTTTTTGAGTAATGAGTCTCCAAGGACTACGACGTATTTTTTGCCTTTAAAGGGCAAATCAGACTAATACTTCAAGAATGTAAAACTCTACAGTTAATAAAAATAAGTATTGGTTCTAAAACGCTCTGGCTCCACAGGCTTATGAAACTCACAGGACATGCTTAGAGGTAAAATATAGAGAACGCATTTCATTCTAGAAAAATTCTTACCCATGCAAAAGAATGAAAACCTAGCTATACCCACGAAGAGGAGGAGAACCTTTTCTAAAATTAAGACCTTAGCAATTCAACACTATAGAGAAACAGAATACTGACAGACTAATTGCACTGCATTCACTGAACGCCGCAATCAAACTAAGCAGTACAGAATTTTTTTTCAATTACTCACAAATAAACGCACCTAACTTAGTTTAGAATTACCAAACTTCTGAATGCAGAAGCAACCCAATGCAAGCATGAATCTTCTTGACAGTAATACAGTCTTCATGAAGGTAGTATCTGAGTGCTTCAGAAATACGAAAGGGTCTATCCTTCTGACCTACCTATGATGCAAAACACTGAACTTTCGCCATTTTACAACTAGCAAAATGAGTTAAGACAAGCACACTGCAATTTCCTTACACATTGTAGATATTACCTTGCCTCTTTGAACAAGTGGGACTATTCACAGTGGATGGTAAAGGAGCCCTGCTCTTTAGCCCACTGATCAAGGCTGCACAATGAGTTCAAAGAAAGTATACTTATGCTAGTCAAGCACTGAAAACCAAGGCCATTTAGGCCAGGCAAAAGCACCAATTCCTGTTTCTAACACTCACATATATTTACCATTTTAGGTATCAGCAAATGTTACTGCCTTTACACTTGATTTATATAGGAAAAACTTACCTAAAGTTAGGAAAATATACAAATTGGCTTTGACAACCTACAACAATCAGATTTTGTACGTTACTTCTGCTGAAGACTTAATCTCAAGTCTTAACAGATAGAACATGTAGTATTTTTAGAGCAAGAATTATGTCAAAATCCACAAAGAATATTAAACAAAATACACAAAAATCTGTTGCTGCACACACTGCAGAAGTAACACGAAATTCGTATTTTATGACAGGTGAAATTTTAGTGTCTGCACTGATACACTTATGCTGACTGAAATACTGAATTAAGTTAATCTGTTTAAACATATTTAAAACCACGCCACTGCCTATCATACATTTAAGAAATTATTACGTTGGAAACATAGGTATCCTTGTTAAATGTCAAATTAAGTCTGTACCACCACAATGACAATTAACTTAAAATGATAAAATGACATGTGTGTAAATCTCATCCTGAAATATGGGAGCCCCTGATATTCTCCTTCAATTTAAGGTTATCTCTACAGACCAAAAAAAAGACATTATATTGCTCTTAATGTCAGTGTTCAATTTCTCAAAGGGGACTCAATTTCTAAACAAGGGGACTTTTTTGTTTCCTTCCATTAATATGTCTTTCCTCTTTTTCTGTTTCCCCCAAAGTTTTATTTTTTTCCCTATTCTCTTGCTGGTGTTTCGGAGATTTTGGAAAAATGTCAGCATTGCTCCAGCACTGCCACAATCACAACAGACAACTCTTTGGCTTCCGTCATGTTTATCCATTCACTTTAATGGAGTATATAACACTATGAAACACTGTTAAGACATTAATAATCAGTCCCCTGGAGACATCACCCCCTCCTCCAAATTCTCTGTCTAATCTATGGCAGTTCCTTTACTATCTTTATTCACAGAACCACAGCATTCACATTTATTCTTCTACCTCACCACAGCCTGTTACTGCAATAAACATGTAGCAGGCGCCACAATCCCCTGAATTCAAAACATGCAAACACAAGAGGCCAAAGCAAGTACCATCTTTTTGTTGCTAGGAACCTCTGTTCAGGCCTGAGAGCAAACGTGCTTAGGTATATAAAAATATAATGCAAAATAGGACGCATTTTGCACCGTTTCACAGCTGGTTCAGGAA